TGCACCCGGACTTTAATTTGGTGCATTTAAAAAAATAATTTTCTTAGATATTAGCAAAGAAAATGTGCAAATAAAGATGTGAACTTTGTTTTTTTTTTATTTAAAAATATTAACTTTATTAGTTTCTAAATAAAATGTCAATTTTTAACATTTTTATTTAAAAATGTTAATTTTTTATTTTTATTTAAAAATGTTAATTTTTAATTTTTTATTTAAAAATGTTAATTTTTAATTTTTTTATTTAAGGATGTCAAATTTTAACATTTTTGTTAAAAAGTCTATTTATTACATTAGTATCACAATCCAATTAATCTTTAAATAAAAAAAATTTAAAAGTTGATATCTCTAAATAGAAAAAATTAAAAGTTAACATCCTTAAATAGAAAAAAATTAAAAGTTAGCATTTTTATTTTGAAACTAATAAAATTAATAGCTTTAAATAAAAAAAAAGGTGCAAAATTAACATCTTTATTTACATATTTTCTTGATATTTTAGCATTAAAACTTGAATTTATCCTACAAAACTATATTTACCTATTAATAAATCCAATCCTTAGAGTTAAAGTAATTAAACAATTTCATGGATATTCTCACATTTTTTTCCTTTTTTCCGCAAAACCACCTAAAGAACACTTCTCTTAATATAAGTGCATTAGGATTTAGGAATTGAAATCCTTACCAGTTAGGCATTAGGAACACCAGCCCATTTACGTTTGGGCTTTGGGTGAATAGAACTTTTCATTCTCACAACAGAAAATTCCAAAGCCCACTCGGTCCTCAAGGCCAAAATGGAGATTTAACACTTTGCGCCACGTAAAGAAGCAAAGGTCATAAGCAGACTTTGAGGAGACTGGAGAGCCTCATTTTTCCGATCATCTACCGCATTGTTCTTGTTTTCCATAGCCGCCGCGTTCAGGTAAACCTTAACGTCTCCCCCCGCATCTCTTTCTTCGATTGCTCTCATACGTTTCCCTCGATGATGATCCCTAGCTTAGGTCGTTGAAAAGGCTGAGTTTTCTTTTCTCGATTTATTTGTCTGTGTGTAGATGGTGGTTGTTTTTTTAGTTTTTAGTCCAAGATCTTGAGATTTCTTTGTTGTTTTTGATTGTCGATTTTATCAGTTTTTGGTGTGTCATAATTATTTTGCTGTCGAACAGTTTCTTGTGATTTGAAATAGAGATCTGTGGTTATGTATGAAGAAACTTTGATGAAGATGATTTAAGCAGGTTAAAAGGCATTAAATTGATAGGTTGCTTCTGATACCAAATAGATAGTTGTGATTTTTGAGCACATATCCATGGGGTGGTTATAATTCAACTGGAAAGTTTGGGGGTTCGATCTGTGATAGGTCTTAGCTTGAGGTAGTGGCTTGGGTAATTGATAGATGTGTAATTTCTCTAATTTCATGTATGAGAGTTGAAGGAGATAAATGTTAGTAAACTAGAATAGAACTCTAATTAAACAGAAAATGTTTGAGAAGTGAAGTCTTTTCATATGCAATATAATGTTTAGATATTCTAAAACTATACTATGATTGAGTTTTGTGTCAAAAGTTGTTGTTTTGCTAATTGCTATGTGGTTGAGGTACCTGGTTGATTGGCAGCAGGCCTTGATTTCCATTTTTTGCATTGTTTTCATTAAATCTTAAATCAGTGCTTTGCTTGTTAAAGTTTTTTGCTTTTTTAGTTTTCTTGGTTCCTTTTACAATTTTTATGGGTAAGGAAAGAAACGATTGAAATTTCTGTTTTGTTGCATGATGGTCTTCTAGATTGAAGTAGAGTAAAATGGCTGGTGGTAGGGTTGCTCATCCCACCTTGAAAGGACCAAGTGTAGTGAAGGAAATAGCTATTGGTATAGCTCTTGGTTTGTGTGCCGCTACTGTTTGGAAGATGCATCACTGGAATGAGCAGAGAAAAACAAGAACTTTCTATGACTTGCTTGAGAAAGGTGAGATTAGTGTTGTTGCAGAAGAGCAGTGAACATGGTATGTTGGTGTGATGAAGATATGGACAGTCATTTCATTTTCTCTTTTCCTACTTTTGGCTCTGACATGTAAGAAGAGCAAACTCTGTTTGGGATTTTAAGAATAATTTCATTGTGTTCAGATCCACATGACATATTTTCTGATGGAATCTTAAGCCTCTTGATTGGTTTCTATCTTTCTAGTCTCAAATTCAATGGCATTTCTTTC